ATGTTGTTTGTTGTTGTGGTTTCTCGGTTTTGTCTTTTTTTTTATCTTTCCGCAGGTCTAGAGGCAGACTTGAATGATCTTGATTTGTGTTCTCTTTATCCCTCTCTCTCTCCTCTATTCCTACGTCCTTCTTTACCTTTTAACCCTTCTCCCACTTTTCATCTTTGTTATCTTCTTTGTTTTTCATCCCCGTGTCCATTACATCTGAAACAAACCCAAAGCAAATGCTAATAAAGTTTTATTTATAGATCAAGTGGAGCATTAAAGCCAGCCATAATGCTCTACTTGTGAAAGTAAATCTGTTGGGCATCACTTTGACACTCATACAATAATTCTGAGTGTCACAATGTCGGACAGGACAAGGGAGAAAAAAAAAGTAGCTGAAAGGAGCCAATTTCATAGAGTGAAGTCATCCGGAAGATGCTCAGAGAGCTGCTGTTCACAGAAAGGAGTCAGATGAGGGACATCTCACTGAGATCCTAGGGATGAATCAGAACTCACTGGAGGGATTATACGTATATCATCTCTGGTCTGGGAACACCTTAGAATACACAAGGAGGAGCTGAAAGGTGTTTCTTGGAACACTGATGTCTTGCTCCTTCCTGAACCTGTTTCCTCTTGGGCCCTCAGACAAGCTGCAGACTGGCTGAATGGATTCTTCACTGAGGCGTGTCAGATATTGTTGTTTCTACAGATCATTTTTTTCTTTTGATTGTTCCCTCTTCAGGGGTCTCCACAGTGAGTCATCCTCCTCCATCTCTGTCCTCTTTCCAACTACCTCCATGTCCTCTCTAACTGCATCCATATATCTCCTCTGTCTTTTTCCTGGCTGCTGCATTTCTAACATCCTTCTATCAATATACCCATTGTCCCTCCTCTGGACCTGTACAAACCACTGTCCCTCCTCTGGACATGTCCAAACCACTGTCCCTCCTCTGGACATGCCCAAACCATCTCAATCTGGCCTCTCTAACTTGATCTCCCAGTTCAACATGTGCTGTACCTCTGATGATCTCATCCCTAATATTATTCATCCTTGTCACTCCTAAGGAGAACCTTAGCATCTTCATTTCTGCCACTTCTAGTTCTTTCTCCTGTCTTTTTGTCCATGTCTCTGTCTCCAGACCATACAACATAGCTGGTCTCTAGTCCCCTGTCAAATGAGGAAACTTTAAAAATTTCACTAGAGTCTGATTTATGTTTGGACAGTTTTTGTCCTGTTGAGCTCTCTGAATTGTCAAAAATAATAACATCATCCAAACCATCCACATGTCTGCTAGATCCCATCCCAACCAGACTGTTTAAAGAGGTATTTCCCCTAATTAATGTCCACATTTTGGATCTACTTAATTTGTCTTTAATGAATGGTTATGTACCACAGAACTTTAAGGTTGCTGTAATTAAACCTTTACTTAAAAAGTCTGATCTTGATTCAGAAATTCTGGCCAACTATAGACCTATATCTAATCTAACTTTCATCTCAAAAATTCTAGAGAAAATAGTTGCAGGTCAGTTGCGTGAACATCTACAAAGAAATAATCTGTTTGAAGAGTTTCAGTCAGGGTTTAGAGCTCATCATAGCACAGAAACAGCACTAGTAAAAGTCACTAATGATATTCTCATGGCCTCAGACAATAGACTTGTGTCTATACTGGTCCTGTTAGACCTCAGTGCTGCATTTGATACAGTTGATCACAATATTTTACTACAGAGGCTTGAATATGATATTGGGATTATAGGAACAGCTCTAAACTAGAAAGTTCCTGGAGAAACTTTGACGGGGACTGCCTATTTAATAATAAATTATTATTATTAATAATAAATATTATTAATACTTAATAATATTAATAATTAATTATTAATACGTTATTCATTTATTAATTATTATAAACTATTAATATATTTGATGATAATATTGATATTAATAAGTAATATTAAATATAAATTATTAATATTAATAATTATTATATTAATAATTATTAACGTTATTATTTGTAATTGTTAAAATGAATCATTAGTAATTTATTTTAATTATTTTTTACTAATTAATAATAATAATAATAGGTGGTAATAGGTGCCTTCCATGCATGTTGAACCAAAATGGCTCCCGACATTACTCAGTTTCTTTGAAAAGTTTTCTCCTATTCATTTCCTATGGGAAATTTGTCATTTTCGTTAGCAAAATATGTTGCCATGGTAACGCCAATTGCCAATAAAATTAATAGCACACATCTCGGAGCCGAGCCGGTCATTTGGATATAACTTTTGTAGGGGTCCACTTTGCGGTTTGGGCTGCATTAAAGTTGAAAAAATATGCTTTTCAGGTGTAGAATAATAAGTGGGCAGTCACCAACTAGTTTATGGAGTTGGTGAAATATTGCATCTTTGTTTGCAAATTACTTCGCCATGGTAACTCAAAATGCCAATAAAAGTAATAGCACACATCACAGGGCCGAGCCAGTCGTTTTGAAATAACTTTTGTGGGAGTAGATGTTGTGGTTCGGGCCGCATTAACGGAGATAGAAATGTAGACTCACTTCCGAGGTGTAGAATAATAGGTGCCTGCCATGCATTTGCATGGCAGTCCCCAAATGGTTGAAATCATATCTATCTGATATATTCCAGTTTGTAAATGTAAATAATAAATCTTCTTCATACACCAAAATTAGTCATGGACTTCCTCAGGGCTCAGTGCTTGGGCCAATACGCTTTACTTTATATATGCTTCCATTAGGTAAAATTATTAAACAGCATGGGATAAATTTTCATTGTTATGCTGATGACACACAATTATATTTGTCCATTAAACCCAATTAATCCAATCAGCTACTTAGACTACAAGCATGTCTTAAAGACATAAAAACCTGGATGACGCTTAATTTTCTCCTGTTGAACACAGACAAGACTGAGGTTTTGGTTTTTGGACCTGAGCACCTTAGGAATGAATTTTTCAGTCTTTCTCCCTCAGATAGCATTAATCTGTCCTCCAGCTCTAATGTTAAAAATCTTGGTGTTATTTTTGATCAGGACATGTCTTTTATCCCCCACATTAAAAACGTTACTTGAACTGCCTTCTTCCACCTGCGTAATATCACTAAAATTAGAAACATCTAAAAATGATGCAGAAAAACTGGTCCATGCATTTGTCACGTCTAGACTGGACTATTGCAATGGTTTATTATCTGGATGTCCAAATACTTCTTTAAAACGTCTTCAGTTGATACAAAATGCTGCTGCCAGAGTCTTAACCAGAGTTAGTATGAGAGATCATATCTCTCCAGTTTTAGCTTCTCTCCATTGGCTCCCTGTCAAGTCCAGAATTGAATTCAAAATCTTACTTCTAACCTACAAAGCTCTCAACAACCTAGCTCCATCTTATATTAGAGATCTTATTCTTCCATATTTTCCTAACAGAGCACTTCGCTCTCAGACTGCAGGTTTACTTGTGGTTCCTAGAATTTACAAAAACAGAATGGGAGGCAGATCTTTCATTTATCAGGCTCCTCTCTTGTGGAACCAACTTCCAATCTCTGTCCGTGAGGCTGACACATCATCCAGTTTTAAAACTGGGCTTAAGACTTTCCTTTTTGATAAATCCTATAGTTAGGGTCGGCTTGGATTTCCTGAGCTGTCCCTTAGTTATGCTGCTATAGGCTTAGACTGCTGGAGGACAAACTGACCACACTTTTCACTCTGCTACTGTCTTTACTTACTTTCAACTTGTTTTGTATTTTTTTTTCTATCCTTAACATGTTTTTTTTTTTTTTTTTTGTCTTTCAGATACACCTGGACCTATACCTGGACCTATACCTGGACCTATACCTGGACCTACCATTCTGTGTTCGTCTGTCTCTCCTTCCTGTCCTCTCAACCAGCCGGTCAAAGCAGATGGCCACTTGTCCTGAGCCTGGTTCTGCTGGAGGTTTCTTCCTTTTAATTAAAAAGGGAGTTTTTCCTTTCCACTGTTGCCACTGTGCTTGCTCAGGATGGGAGACTGCAACGAAGCCAAGATTCAACTTGTCTGCTGGATTCCTTAGATAGAGAACTTTACTAATTGGCTTTTATGTGAATGTTTCTGTAAAGTGCCCTGAGACAACTTTGTTGTGATTTGGCGCTATATAAATAAACTGAATTGATTTGAATTGGTCTCACCACTGTCTTATAAACTTGTTCTTTGACCTTTGCTGACACCCTTTGGTCACAAATCACTCCTGAAATTTTTCTCCATCCACTCCATCCTGCCTGGACTCTCTTCTTCACCTCTTTACCTCACCCCCCATTTTCCTGGACAGTGAACCCCAAGTACCTGAAGTCCTGCACCTTTGTGACCTTTGCTCCCTGTAGCCTCACTGTTCCACCTCCTCCCTCTCATTCACAACAGTCATTCTACACACAAACATCTGATGCTGTCTGGTCACACTCTCCCTGCCACGACCTTACAGTCTCCAATCTCCCTCAGGTTTCCTCTTCTGCACAGAATGTAGTCGACCTGCGTACTCCTTCCTTCACTCTTACAGATCACTCTATGTTCCTCCCTCTTTTGGAAATTGGTGTTACAGCCATTTTCATTCTCTTGGCAAAATCCACCACCATCTGTCCTTCCTGGTTTCTTTCCTTGACACCAAACCTACCCATCACTTCCTCATCCTCTGTTTCCTTCACCAACATTGTTGCTTCTACAAATAAATTGTAAAAAAAAAAAAATGTTTGTAAAATCCTGTTTTTGTTGTTGAGGATTTTTTCAAATTGAAAATAAAAATGTTTACCACCTAACTAGAACATAGAACAAGGAAAACTAAAAAGAATTATCTTCTGGAATAAATTTCACGGTACCTCCTCGGGTCATGTCCCACCTTTATTGATCCTGTTTGCTCCAGTGTACAATTAATGATTTGTGAACGCGATGTTGAAACTGAGCAGGCAGAAAGTGCAAATACAGGTGCTTGTACAGTCCTGGTGAGAATCACCCCTGACACTGTGTCACACCAGTAAAAACATACCAGAATATTTGGAGGAGAACATGACGACAAACGGCTCTCTGTTGAAGGTGTCTGTCCCACAGGGCTCACAGCCGTCATCATAAGTGTAACTCTTCACCACAGATACTCTCTCCTTCCTGGAAGGAAAGGAAATACTGGCTTCAAATAAGTATGGCTCATAAAGTAAAACATTTTGAGAATTCTGATGTGATTCAGAAGACAAATATGATGCAGCTCTAGAATAAGTGAATGTTAAGGATTTGTGTGTGTGTGTGATAAAACCTTGACTTTGTGTCTAAAGCTCAGCCATTTGCATAAATACATGATTAATGCATTTAAAACATCAGTGATTTAATGGTCTTAATTAGGCAGGCAGGTCAGGTATGTGAATACATGTATTACGCTGAGAGAATACGTTTTTACAGGGAGTGTCTTGTGTTAAGTGAAATGTAAGTTTTACACAACCGTTCACAGTTTTTTGCTGAAATTTAATTTTTTTGCGCAGATTATATACATTGGTGAGTCTTAAGTGCATTAAATCAAAGAGCTATTACTTAAACTTTGACGCTAACAGTGAACAGTTAATATCTTACCTGTTGTAGATAACTCATTGAACAACCTCGGTTGGAAGGAACAGAGTGTAGTTCTAACAGCTAATTCGACCACAGCCAACACCAAAGTGGATCGTGGCGTCTTAAAACATCTCAAAACCTCCATAGCAGCTAGCTGTAACACTATACAGCCTGGGGTCACTAATGAGAGAGACTCCTTTATATTTCTGCTACAATAATTGTGCCATTTGAAACTGACAACCACGTCATACATGTTAGCATTTCATTTAACTGCTGTGAAATGTTGGAGATTGGTGTTGTGGCACTTCGGTTGTGTTCAGATTAGCTGTTAACCCATTAGTCAGATTGGACCAAACTCTTTTTCTCCAAACTGAGATCGTTTAAAGAGCTTCCACAGAACCCAACCTATAAATGTCTCTTAAGGACAGGAAGTCAAAATGTTCAGGGATTCACAAGGAGGAGCATTCCCCTCACTCTTACAATTAAAACATGTTTTGTTTGTTCATTGTGTTTAGTCTGTGTACCTGTAGACAAAGAGGTATCTTTCCTTGTAGGTTCTGCGACCCAGAGGCTCACTGACAACATAACTGAACTGAGAGGAACCTCTGAGAAAACAAACAGATCATCAGCAAAGATAGAGACGTTTGTCATGTATGTTGGTGAAAACGATATTTATGTGTGGTCAGAGTTACGGTGTAAGCTCTGTGTGAGTCACTCTGACTTGTTGATATGATCCATGAGTTTTTTGGTTGCTGACAGATCGTTGTCTCGGACTTCCTGGATTAGAATGATGTCATAGCGGTGGACAATCTAAAAAATAAAAATCATTGCTTTGTTACATTTTGCCCACATAAAATTTCACAATTTGTACCAAAAGCTTTTTTTTTTATCACCTGTCGCCAAAGATCCGTCTCTGAGCTTTCAGAAAAAATATTTGGGTTGACTTTTACAACTAAATGCCTTTTGCAAAATTTTAAAGATATTGAGCTAAAGGTTGGTGAACACCATTTCCTGAGGTCCTAATAAAACATCTGATGTGCTTCTGTAAGAAATGAAATATCTTCCAGCTACAGGCAGGAGGTGGAACACCTGGAGAGCTGCTGCAGGAAGAACAACCTTCACATCAATGTGAAGAAGACGAAGGAGATGGTCATGGACTTCAGACAGAGCAAACGCACCTCCCACCCCATGAACATCAGAGGATCTGCGGTGGAAGTGGTCTCCAGCTACAAGTACTTGGGTGTGCACATGAATGACAACCTCAGCTGGAGCAACAACACCACCAGCCTGATCAAGAAAGCTCATCAGAGACTCTACTTCCTCAGGCGGCTGAGAAGAGCTGCTCTGGGAAGCTCAGTCCTCACCTCCTTCTACAGGTGTGCAGTGGAGAACATCCTGTGCTCCAGCATCAACGTGTGGCATGGAGGCTGCACAGCTGCAGAAAGAAAAGCTTTGCAGAGAGTGGTGAAGGCTGCACAGAAGATGTTGGAGTCAGTCTCTACACCATCACAGACATCTACACTTCTAGAGGCAGGAAGAGGGCCACCTGCATCATGAAGGACCCCACTCACCCAGCACACTCACTTTTTACCCCTCTCCCCTCAGGCAGGAGGTTGAGGAGTATTAAGTGTAGAACCACTAGACCAGTGTTGCCAGATTGGGCTGTTTACCACCATTTGGGCGGTTTTCATTCTGATTTTGCAGGTAAAAATTGCTTTGGGCGGGTGGGGATAATTTGGATGGATTTGGAGTCAGATCGGCGTTTTTTAGTTAAACTATTAAACATATTTCAAACAATCATTCAATTATTTCATAGCAAAGCTCCCCTGACCTTTCTCCATCACTAACTGGTTATTGTCATCTACCAGGGCGTTCACATCAGAGAACTGGTGAGGTAGTTAGTGGACACATCGTTTTGTGGGCTGGCCCGTTGCAGCGGTACGTCAGAGCAGCCGCCATATTGGATGTGGCAGAACTTCCGGTCAGCTGATAGAAGCAAATATACTGAATTTTATAAATCACAGTTCTACAAAGTGTTTTATGTTAATGGCTGTCATTCACACACACTAATAGATATGGAAAACAAACAGGCACCAAAGACAGCTGGATATCTCATCGACTTGCAAGACTTGATGATGTGTCTATTTCTGCTGCCATTTGTGGACTTTAAGGACGCATATTTAATTGGATTTTCAATAACTGGTTCCTGCTATTTTGGATTCGGCTGGTTGCTGGTTTTATCTACAATCAAGGAAGTCGTCGGCAGCAAATTTGGACCCGATCACGCTGCTTGCCTTTATGATGGGTTGGTTCGTGTCTCGAGTACCCGGACTCAAACGCTTTGGGCAGAATGGATAAGATCTTGGGGATTTTACTCAGTCACGTTCCATCGGTATGGCCATGTATTTTGGACATTTCAGAACCGAGTGGACCAACACAGACTCAAGGTAGATGTCATTAAGTTCTGCCTGTCCCCAAAACAACTGTGTGTTTATCTGAATTTGGCTCCCTTGGCTGGCCTTGAAGGTCATCTTATCTGAATTCGCCTGGAGAACATGTGATCTGATGCTCACCACCCCCTCCCTGAGGAATTTCCAACTGATAACCAGATGATACAAGCTGAATAAACTTGTGTCATCATTTCAGGACTCTTGGATTCTCATAGACGTTATTCTTGGCCATTCCTTGACATCCCTCGAGAATGTTTATGGATCTCACCGGAGGACATTGGCTGATTATTCCATCCTTATCAGAACTCTTAGTGTCCTTGAGAGCATTTATGAACATGCTCACCGCTCTCGGCTCCCCCCTGTGCAGAACGTCTATGTCACTATGTGCTTGTTTGTGCGAGGTGCTTTTTTTAATATTAGAGGTTTTTTTCTCCATCCATCCATCCATCCATCCATTTTCTTCCGCTTATCCGGGGTCGGGTCGCGGGGGTAGCAGCCTAAGTAGGGAGGCCCAGACTTCCCTCTCCCCAGCCACTTGGGCCAGCTCTTCCGGGGGAATCCCGAGGCGTTCCCAGGCCAGCCAAGAAACATAGTCCCTCCAGCATGTCCTGGGTCTTCCTCTGGGCCTCCTTCCGGTGGGAGGTATCCGGAACACCTCACCAGAGAGGCGTCCAGAAGGCATCCTAAACAGATGCACAAGCCACCTCAACTGGCTCCTCTCGACATGGAGAAGCAGCGGCTCTACTCTGAGTCCCTCCCGGATGACCAAGCTTCTCATCCAGTCTCTAAGGGAGAGCCCAGACACCCTGCGGAGAAAACTCATTTCGGCCGCTTGTATCTGAGATCTCATTCTTTCGGTCGCAACCCAAAGCTCGTGACCATAGATGAGGGTAGGAACGTAGATCGATCAGTAAATTGAGAGCTTGGCCTTTTGACTCAGCTCTCTCTTCACCACGACAGACCTGTGCAGCGCCTGCTTCACTGCAGACGCTGCACCTATCCGCCTATCGATCTCACGCTCCATTTTTCCCTCATTCGTGAACAAGATCCCAAGATACTTGAACTCCTCCACTTGGGGTAGGACCTCCTCCCTGACCCGGAGAGGGCACTCTACCCTTTTCCGGCTCAAGACCATGGCCTTGGATTTGGAGGAACTGATCTTCATCCCGGCCGCATCGCATTCGGCTGCGAACCGCTCCAGCGAAAGCTGTAGATCACGATCTGATGAAGCCAATAAGACCACATCATCTGCAAAAAGCAGAGATGCAATCCTAAGGCCACCAAAACGGATCCCCTCAACACCTTGGCTGCGCCTAGAAATTCTGTCCATAAAAGTTATGAACAGAATCGGTGACAAAGGGCAACCTTGGCGGAGTCCAACTCTCACCGGGAACAAGCCCGACTTACTGCTGGCGATGCGGACCAGGCTCTGACACCGGTCATACAGGGACCTAACAGCCCGTATCAAAGGGCCCGGTACCCCATACTCCCAGAGTTCATTCTATTAAGTTATAATCCCATAAGACTCGGAAGAGCTCTGTGGTCATGTCAGGACCTTCCTGTTTCCCAGCACGGGAGCTCGACCGCAACCTCGGCTCGACTCAACTGGAACTTCGACCCAACAGGAACTGGGAGACTCTGTGAGACTCTGTGAGACTCCGTGAAACTCCGTGAAACTCTGGTTTAAACTAGGAAGTACCGACATTTTAAAGAGCTCTATTTCCGGTTCATTTGGGAGTCTCTGATTGGTCAATATCGACCAGACAGGGGTGTGTTTTGTGATGTAAAAGGTTACTAGAAGTCAGAAAACAGCAAGAATGTTATGGAACAGATTGAAAATGTTTTTCAGACAGGCGAGAGAAATGTTTGGGCGAGTTTGGGAAAACAGGTGCCAGCTTCTCTGTTTACGTCTGAGAGGATTTAAAAACAACACAGCTCGTTCCAACACTTGTCTGCTTAGGCTCCGACCTTGAACCAAAACTTACACTGCTCATTCAAAGACAGAAAATCAGAAAATGCATAATTACTCTGTAACAGACCTTAACATGAATTCTAACTTTGCATGAGAATTAAAAATAATCATTGTTACTGTTTTCACAGTTAATTAAAAATGATTAGTTCACTGCAACATCTAAAATGGTTTGAACTAAAACACTTTGATTATCAACATTTGTAAAATAGTAATGATAATAAAAAGAGTGTTCTTTCACTTGAATTTTCAAGAAAGAAAGTCTCAGGATGGTCAACCTGTATTTCTGGATTCAAATCAATGAAATGACAGTTTCTGTCCCACAAGGTTCTTAAGGTCAAGGGTTTTGACCTTAGGCTTAGTTCACTACACCCCCACAGGGCCCCCCGAGGGACGCGGTCGAACGCCTTCTCCAAGTCCACAAAGCACATGTAGACTGGTTAGGCAAACTCCCACGCACCCTCCAGGACCCTGCTGAGAGTGTAGAGCTGAGGTTTTTTTTTCTAAGGCAGGAAAACAAAAGTCTGATAGGAATTTTTTTGCCTCCAACTCCTACATGTGTCCATTTTACCACTTTTTTTGTCTGTCCAAACAGGTCTCACTTGTAAATGAGTTTTTTAGGCTCAATGTGATTTATCTGTTTAAATAAAGGTTGAATGAATGAATTATTTCTCAGTAGTTTTGGTGTTACTGCACAAATGTCAATGCATTGTGTACAACACCAATAAAGCTCTTTAATCCTAGTCTTAATAACTTCCATACCAAGCTAACTGTTATTTGCCCCAATTGTTCATTTGGTAAATTATTGTACTCCTGACTTTGATTTTATTTTTAATTTTATTTACTTTTAATGCACTTAAGGAGTACTGAACATTTTTCTCCTTGAGATTAATAAAGTATATTTAATTTAATTTAATTCACACACATGGGTTCTGTCTTATTTTACTTTCATTCTTTTTCTCTCCACCTCTTTAAACTCTCTTCCACCTGCTCCCCACTTTACTTTAGTTCACAATGACAAGATGGAGACTGAGTATTTTTATTTATTAGTAAAAGCAAAATCAAACTAAGAGAAGGTGACATGACAAGAAGACAACAGGAACTGACAATGTGCAGGAGAATAAAACCTGAGATTACAGGTGAGAAACAGGTCCGAGACTTCAACATTTCTAAAATATACAGATTTTCTAAGACAAATGGAAAAATGTTCACCGAATTTAGAACCAGAATCAGAATAAGATTTATTGTCCTTGCACAGTGAAGTACAACAAAATTACGTTCTGTACAAACGTCCTAAACACCATGGGGGGTTGGAGGGTGGGGGTGGACAGAGCAGAGCTTTTTGATTCAGAACAACAACAATTGTTTGGGCAGGAAGACTCTGGTTCCTGTCTGACTTCAGTTCTGCGGGAACTCTTGATGGCAACTCCAAACAGCCAGGTTTGTGGACATTCTGCTGGTAATTAGCTTTCTCCAAGGTCAAATCCTTAATGCCATCGAGTTCCAGGAGCCAAAAGTGGCCTACGATTCTCAGAAATCGCATCCAGCGTGCATTTGAGTTTGTTAAGCGTATGAGTCTGAGCGCCCGAAGCACAAATTTATCTTCACATAAGGTTGGCAGCTTTACCACGGCCGAAACTGCTGCAATCCTCTTCCTAATTTGTTGATATCCAAGGTATCCACCAATTCCAAACAGCAGAAACCCTGTTATCATAAATCCAGTAATGTACACATCTTCTACATCCTCCGTAGACAATACAAACAGACACATCATCTTCCACTGTCCCCAGGAATCCATGACATACTCAGCTGCTTGTGTTTGTTCAAGGCATGACGGCTCTCCAGCACCCTGTCTCTTGGTCGAAAATTTTTTATCAGTTGCGATGAGAGACCAGCTGACCAGATCCATAATAATAATTTACGATTCAGAAGGTGTGTAAAGAGAGATTCTGCTACACAGGACAAAGAGCAAAAGCAGGAGGAAGGCAGGAGAAGGAAGAAAAGTGTCCGACTTCATCGAGGGCAAGTGAGGGGAAAAAAAAACTTTAAAAATATATTTTTTAATTAAATTATAATTAATAATTTAAATATTTAAAGATTAAGTTGCAAACAATACAAATGAATGCATTTGGTTTTGAGGCATGTTTGTTTGCATGCGTGAATTTGGTGATTTAGCTTCAGATATCAGTAGAATGTGTTTTGTGAAGCCACACGAAGATAAAATGAGCGACTTTAAACTAGAAGAACCAGTGGTGCTCAGACCGTGCTGATGATGTCCATCAGAGTTGTGTTGGATGACTTCTGGTCCCCAAACGACTTGATGTTGAAGGCTCCCAGGAGGTGAGAGGTGGACAGGTGCAGCAGGACCACAAAGAGCCCCAGAGAGTACAGAACCCCCATCCCAGGTCTGACCTGAACATGGAAATCTTTATAAATATATTGTGGAAACATAAATGTTCATCACTGATGAAGTGAAACAATGATTTAAGGCATGCCACTCATTAATGATGGACATAATGAGGGCTGCAAAAGTATTCACCCCATACATTTTGTTTCTTCACAACCTGGAGTTTGAATAGAAACTCAGGACTCGTGATAAGGTTGAACATTGACAATAATAATATTAAAAGTCAGTTAGGTCATGTTTGTCATTCTTAGGGCTTTGAAGCTACATAAAAATACTTGGAGGGCAACTTTACTTTGAGTATAAAGGAGTGGGGTGAATACTCTTACAACCCACAGTACTCTGTAGAGCATATTTTATTTTTTGCTCAAGGTATGCAATGGTTTCAAAGTTTAAAGTGCAGCGTGCATGGCCTCAGTGTGGGAGTGACAGTCTGACTTTTCTTTGAAATGTTGCGGTTCTGGTAAAATATTACTCTAAAGGACAAACACAGAGCTGGTATGGAAGAAACTCCTGAACAAATTTACTGAGAACAGTGCTGTACACGCACTGCAACATAAAATACCACTTCAGCTTCTGAGGCAACTTGTAATGAAAATATTTGTATAAAATTACCAATACGTGTAGCAACAGGCGTATTTATAGTGAAGAGCAGAAGAACCTACCTGATTGACTGAAAGGAAGGAAAAACCTGCTGGAAGCACAAAGCCTCACTTGTTTGTGTCCTCAGAGGGTTTAGAGCACAGTCTGAGCTCAGTCCCTGATAACATCTCCTTTAAAGGTTTTTTTTTTTTATATATATTTACCCGCCTCCCTGGTAAGGTCTATTCAGAGGTACTGGAGAAGTGAGTCTGATCCAGGAGGAACAATGTGGGTTCCGTCTTGGCCGTGGAACACTGGACCAGCTCTTTACCCTCACTAGGATCCTTGAGGAGTCATGGGAGTTTACCCATCCAGTCCACATGTGTTTTGTGGACTTGGAGAAGGCATTCAAAAGTGTTCCTTGAGCTACACTGTGGGGGGTGCGCCATGATTATGGGATTGGGGGCCCGTTGCTACGAGCTCTTTGGTCCCTACAAGCGGTGCAAGAGTTTGGTTCGCATTGCCGGTAGTAAGTCAGACCCCTTCAGGGTGGGAGTTGGACTCCACCGGGGCTGCCTGTTGTCACCGATTCTGTTCATAACTTTTATGGACAAAATTTCTCGGTGCAGCCAGCGGGTGGAGGGTTTCTGGTTTGGTGGCCTCAGGATTTCATCTCTGCTCTTTGCAGAAGATGTGGTCCTGTTGGTGTCATCGTGCCATGATCTTCAGCTCTCACTGGAGCGGTTTGCAGCCAAGTGTGAAGCGGCTGGGATGAGAATCAGCACCTCCAAATCTGAGGCCATGGTCCTCAACCGGAAAAGGGTGGATTGCTCTCTTCAGGTCGAGGGTGAGGTTCTGCCTCAAATGGAAGAGTTCAAGTATCTTGGGGTTTTGTTCATGAGTGAGGGAAGAATGGAGTATGAGATTGACAGACAAATTAATACAGCATTTGCAATATTGCATCCTCTGTGCTGGTCCGTTGTGGTGAAGACAGAGCTGAGCTTTAAGGCAATGCTCTCTGTTTACTGGTCAGTCTACGTTCCTACCCTCACTTATGGTCATGAACTCTGGGTAGTGACCGAAAGAATGAGATTGTGGATACAGTGGTTGAAATGAGTTTCCTCTACAGGGTAGCTGGACTCTCCCTTAGATATAGAGAAGTTCAATTATCAGGAGAGACTCGGAGTAGAACTGCTGCTCCTCCACATCGAGAGGAACCAGTTGAGGTGGTTCGGGCATCTGGTAAGGATACTTCCTGGACGCCTTCCTCGGTAAGTGCTTCAGGTATGTTCGACTAGGAGGAGACCCCGGGTAAGACCCAGGACACACTGGAAAGACTATGTCTCTCAGTTGGTCTGGGAACGCCTTGGAGTCCTCCCAGAAGAGCTGGAAGATGCGGCTGTGGAAAGAGATGTCTGGACCTCCCTGCTCAAGATGCTGCCCCTGAGACACGATGGATGGACGGACGGACGGACGGACGGACCCACTGGTTCACAAAATGACACCAAGCTGGGAGGAGATGTTTGGAAGGACTACAAAAACACGAGGGCTACTTTAGAACCATTACTAGACAGAAAAAAATGTTAATTTTAACGTTGAGTTCAATTAGTTCATAAAATAATTTGACATCTTAGGCTGAAATGATCTTGCGAGTGCAACTTAGAGGCAGCAGCAGCTAGCTGTAGCACTTCTGGTACAGCCTTGGGTGCTTCATAAACCACTGGAACATTTATTCAAGCTTGAAGATATCTTCTAAAAGTATCTGAGGGTCAGTGTGTTTCAGAAACACAAAAATCTCCACCAAAGACCCGAGGCGTGCTTCAACCATCAGCTGATAATTTAATGTGTCCAGTTTTCATCTTGTTGGTGCTAAAATAAATCTGAGATTTTATCTTTGATATTTTCTTATAAAGTCAGATAAAGAAATGGAAACAAACTGTATAAGTTTTCTGTTTTGTGTTGGTACAACACAGGCTCATCCCTTGAGTTTAGCAACCTTTTATGCCTGAATGGTTGATGTGTCAGAGTTAAATGATTAAACAAATAAAACCATCCTTCTAAAAAATCCACGTACTCTAATCAAAATGAGTGAAATAAAACACAAAGTTCAAAGTAATAATGTTTACTTTTTTTTAAGAAAGCCTGAAAAACTACATGTGAAGGCTGCTTCAAAAGAAAAGTTTTTAACTTTACTGGAGTGGAAATGAACTAATTAGTTATAATTTATAGTAGAATGTGTGTGAGTGTACCTGGATATTTGAAACAAGGTCTGTGTTCAGTCTCAAATTGGCAAAAAGAGAAGCATAAAATGATTTACCGGTCACGTATCATGAATTTGGATTCATACACATGAAAGTTTTTCTTTTAAAATGGAACAATTCAGGTAGTCAGAATACACAGATTATCATTTTAAACACGTGTGTGTGTGATTGTAACTTGAACATGTGCAGATAATAAACAGTGTTTGCAGAGGAAATGGGAAAGCAACAGATGACATGAAGTGTGATAACGAGAGTTTTTTGGGAGGTGTGATGGAAACTTTGTGTTAACTCGGTGGTAACTGTTCTTGCAGCTCGTTACAGCCCAACTCGAACAATGATCCTACAGCAAGTGAAAATTATTCAACTGACTATGTCCTCAGTATGAACACAAAGTTTTACAATGCAGCTCTTTTGTTAGAATAAAAGAAGAAGAAACTAAATGCACGATGACACATTTTCAGATGATTCAGCTTCATATAGAACTTTTCACTAGAGGAGCAAAAAACACTGAAGCACTTTTATTACTGTTAAATCATTAACTTAGATTTTCTCCTCCTCCTGCAGCTTTGCAACAAATGTTCAAAAAATACACTAAAACATGCAGCTGGTTTGAGATGACTGGACATAAATATATATATATGAATTATATACTGTATATATACTGTATATATGTATATATGTATTATTATGTGTGCATATATATGTACATACATATATATGTGTGTGTGTATATATATATATATACATATATGTATATATATTTAATGTGTGTGTGTGCGTGCGTGCGTGCGTGCGTGCGTGCGTGCGTGCGTGTGTGTGTAAAGGATGACCACATGATGTTTAAGTTAGTGTGATGATGTCACACTTTAACTTTTGAACCAACTAACCCAGGTCTCTGCATTTAAATACAAAACTGAATTAAATAAAGATAAAACTATTTAATTTACACACATATACATTTAGTTGCATTGGCCCTTTAGTTGTTGTTGTTTTAAAGAAAAGAACAGAGTTCAAATTATACTTTTCTTTATCTCAGTCTATTTTATTTTTTCCTCACCTTAAAAAAAACAAGTTAAATATCAAAGATAAAACAAGTTTTGAACGCAGATATTCCCTCCTCATATTGCACAAAGAGTCGACCAGTTAACTGTCAATAAATTCCATAAATGATTCTGGTTCTTGTCATTTGGTCATTTTAGGTTTAAAGAGTCTCATTTGGCTCTGGACCCTTGGCCTAATTAAAGTAAATTATTTTTACTGAAGCATTCATTTTATCTATCTTTACAAGCCTTCAAAGGCCGGCTGCCAAGAAGCATCATTACAGCATTATACTGCCACTGCCGTGCTTCACAGTGACGATGGAGAGTTTGTGGTGATAGCAAACATGGAATCCTGACTGATGGTCAAAAAGATGCAATTTGGTCTCATTAAACCACAGAACGTTCTTCTACTTGTCTTTCACATGATAAAATCTGGTTAAATTTAACGTGTTTTATCTTTGCCACTCTCCTGTACAGCTCAGACCAGTGGAGAACTCAGGCATGGGTTGTTGTGTGCACAGTCTCTCCCAGAATATCAGCAGAAGCTTGTATCTCCATCAGAGTGGTCACAGGTGTCTTCCTTTCTGCATGCTCTCTCAGTTCAAGAAGATGGTCCGCTCTTGGTAGATTTACACATATTCCATATTCCTTCCATTTCATGGCAGCAGTAAAAGTGTAAATAGGGCATTGTATTCAATGGATAGGGACCGGGACTCAAATAAAACTTCACTCTTTCATTTCTGTTTGTGAGTGTAACCACAGAGTTTATATTAAAAAGCTATGACGTTACTGGTTTCAAGACAAATGTGGAGTTTTATCAAACTTTGTTGTTCAATAAAATTTAGCAGACTGAGTACTTTGTTAAAAACACGTAGCAAGGTTTATTTCTCTTCTGCAGAAGGGAGAAAACACATGAACAAGCACGCAGCTAAAGAGTTCTGTGTGTTTTCTAAAAAACATGAGCAATGCAGCTTCATTTATACATCTTCACACGTAACAGATCTTGCTTTGACACAACAGCCATTACCTCATTTGCAATCTTATCAGAGAAATACAAAAACAGACAGTACGTTTGTGGTCAGTGGCTGGTTCTGGAGCTGGGTTTGAGAAACAGAAGTTACAAAGCTTCACACACTGATGCTGAAGGGATTTAGCTGATAAGCTTTAACAGAGTGTGATATAAAGTAAATGACTAATAAGTGTGATGATGAACTTGATGAACAAAATAAACTGGTATCTGTTTCCATTTCCACAAAGTACTGATCCTTTCTGAGACTCAGAGCTAAAACTGCAGGCAAACACTATCATTTTAAAGTAAACTGTAAATTGTGTAAACATATCAAACTTTTATATTAACAACCCAGAAAATATCAACACAAATTATTGAGCTTGAAAGGGAACATTTCTCAGTCTGGCATCTTCACTTGCTGGTTGTTTGTGTTTATCATTAATCTTGTTTTTTTGTTTGGTTGTTTGTTTTGGGGGTGGGACACATTAATATTTTTTCTGTTATCAGGTTCAAACTGAACCATGTTTTAATTAAAAAATTTGGGGAGTTATAAAATTTTCCTCAAGTTGAGTAGCTTGTCATTAAGGGGTGATGGTGGGCCCCAAAGCCAGACCAGCTGAGAACCAGCGGCATGTCATTTGTTTCACATGGCAAATTATTTATTTTTGATAATTGTGATTTTTCAGCACTAACTGCTTTGATTTGACTCAATGAAGAGTTTTTGCCCTTTTCCCCTCAAAATTAAAATTTAGACCGTCTCTATCTTTGGTGCAGACTTTCAAGTAAAAGCTTCAGACAAAGCATTCCAGTCGGCGGCAGTAACTCGCCGACATGTTTGTGGCCCAACGTCTAATAAATACACGAAGAAGAAGACTTCGTAGTGACGTCATTAGCGTAACATCTTGAAACAGGAAGTAAACATCCAGCGGTTATCGAGCTAGAAGGCAAAAGTGGAGAGCCTTGTGTCGATCTGATACGGGCATGAAACGACTTTGAGAGTCGGGAAGAGGCCGGTGTGTTACGATGTTGTGTCCGGAGTAGCGACAGACCGACTGATACCACAGGATTTAAGTTGTGCTCCACTTTCTTCCAGTCCGACTGTTGAAACCAGGTACGTTAGCTTAGCCATCGAGCGTTAGCTAGTGTTAGCCAGAGTGCTAATTAACGCGAGCAGCTAATAAGGGTCCACAATAACAAGCCAAGTTAGAGTTAATGCTTGCGTTTCCTGTTTATATTTGTCATTGCTGTCTCATAACTTATTTTAATCCAAAGTCAAACCTTCCTCCTATCACAGACTGTCATATCCTGCTAAAGCCCGAGGCTTGTTCTGCCACATTATATATTTGAATAAACTGTGGCGATGTTGTATCTGCGTGCATCCTCCAGCTTAATAAAAGCTAACAAGGAGGACACGGGGCTTGGTAATGTTTTGCTGCCTAAACATAGACTTTATTCAAGTGCTTCCCTTCTTTATGCGGTTATAAAAAGGAAAGATAAAGTTGTCTTCCACTCCCAGCCCTTTTCATTCAACCTTTGTTCATAGGTTGGTCTTTCCTTACTTTCTGTTCTGTAGGCCTGATTAACTGCTAACATGGGCACAGTGTAAGCACAGGCTGTTTACAGTCTCAGGTGTTACTCAGGACAAAAGTATCAGTCAGTTTTAGACCTGAAGTATTTAGTCAGCTGTGAGATCATCTTTCTGATGCTCGGCAGAAACAGGTTCATACAAGACAATGACGACAAACAGCAAATCTTCAAGAGATTTCAGTCCTCGACTTGAAATGAAAATGAAACGGTTGAGTTTATCCAATGTTATGATTTGTTAAGGATCAAATGATTTTTTATATGAATTGTTTTTATCGCAGTGAGGTTTTCTTGTTGTTGTTGGTAAAACAAAGGAAATAAAATAAAACGACTACATCCTAAATACGGAATGCAAGTTATTTTTTAATTGAGCCACATTGAAAACTTGAGGCTGATTTTGTAACATGGGGAGAGGCTGATGATCACAGACTGACCAAATCTCTCTGGTTTCTGTCTCTGCAGGGGTGAATGAGTGACCTGGTGCCGCCCACAGCTCTCAGTGAAGTCCAGCTCCGCTTCCTCTGTCACAATGACATAGAGAGTGTCAAAGTGCTCTGTGGCGATTGGTTCCCAATCGAGTAAGACTAAAAGACACGCACTCCCTGCTCTCCTCAGGACAACCCTAAATTACAAGATGTTGGCACAGTATGAAAAGAAGAAATTTAAAACTAAGCTTTGATTCTGATATTTGGTTGGACTTTTCCAAACAGTCCAATTATTCCAACCTGTCAGCTTTGTCTCATTTCTGTTTATGCTGCTGTTTTGCTCATTTTAGGCTACAATTTGGGAAATTGGTGCCAGAACATATTTAGATGTTGTGAGAGATTTTTCAGTATCACAAATAAGTCAAAGGTTCATTATCACCACTCTCTGTTGGAGTGTTTTGGCTTGAAATACATAAATTGGTGTGTGCCACAGGTGCAACGGATTTATTTTTATACCAAACCATCACGGTGCAGAAGTCGGGGTTCAACCAATCTGAAATTAAATTTATGGAACATAATACATTTGTCATGGTTGATCCCAGCTTTGATTTTGTTTGTTGATAATTACCAAAACAAACTGAGCAGAGGAAGATATTTTCTAGAACACTTTATAGAAAAGTAATGCAAGAATAGATAGTTAGATAAACCACGGGCGCTTGAAGACCTGCAGTGTTTCCCCTAGTTAACTTGCCATGGCGGGGTGCTCATCTCATCCATGATTTTTGTTGACGGGGGGAACGGCGACATGTCTGAGCACAGCTTGTACCAACAGTTTTTTTTTTTTTT